CTCAACCTCTCCGCATAGCAGAGATGCTCCAGTCCCCTCCTCATCCTTGCAGCCCTCTGCTGGACTCTCTCCAGTAGCTCCTCATCTTTTTTGAACTGGGGAGCCCAGCACTGGACGCAGCACTGCAGATGGGGCCTCCCCAGGGCAGAGCATGCCCGTGTCTGCATGCCTCGTGCAGTAAGGAAGGCGCACACCTCTAAGATCAGCGTGTAACGCGATGGGCCAGGCAGAATGGAATGAGAAGTTCCTTTGGGTTTGTAAGAGTATACAGTCCTTGTGACTCCGCTGAGCAGCGCGATGATGGCTTTGTGGAGTTGTCACCCAGCACCCATCTCTGCGCAAACATGCAACGGAACAGCTCTGCTCTGTGTGTGTTGGCGCACTGCACAGCGGGGAAACGACCCCACTTTGGGGACAGCACAATGAAAACTCGCTGTACCAGGTGGCAAAGTCACAACGTGTGGCCTAAGGCTTCAGTGAAGGTAGCCACTAATGCCAAGCAAGTTATTTGTACGAACATATATATATATGTGTATATATATATATAAAAATATATATACTCGAGTAGTACACCAGAACACAAAACAGTGACTCTTCCATTTTGACTCATTTTTTCTATAACAGGCTAAAATATCCATCCTGCTAGAACTGAAGTGGCTCAGGTGGATGCATACATTTCTGGTTCACGTTGAGCTTCTCACCCACCAGTACCCCCAAGTCCTTCTCAGGGCTGCTCTCAAGCCGCTCTCCACCCAGCCTGTACTTGTGTTTGGGATTGCCCCAACCCATGTGCAGGACCTTGCACTTGGCCTTGCTGAACTTCATGTGGTTCACGCAGGCCCACCTCTCCAGCCTGTCAAGGTCCCTCTGAATGGCATCCCTCCCCTCCAGCGTGTCAACCACACCACACAGCTTGGTGTCAGCAGCAATCATGCTGAGGGTGCACTCAATGCCACTGTCCATGTGGCCAGCAGAGATGTTGAACAGCACTGCTCCCAACACCAGGCCCTGAGGAACGCCACTCAACCCTGGTCTCCACTTGGACATCAAGCCGTTGTCTGCAACTCTTTGAGTGTGACCATCCAGCCAATTCCTTATCCACCAAGTGGTCCATCCATCAACTCCATGTCTCTCCAATTTAGAGATGAGGCTGTTGTGCGGGACAACATCGAATGCTTTGCTCAAGTCCAGGTAGATGACATCAGTTGCTCTTCCCTTATCCACCAATGCAGCAACCCCATCACAGAAGGCCACCACATTTGTCAGGCACCATTTGCCCTTGGTGAAGCCACACTGGCTGTCACCAATCACCTCCTTATTTTCCATGTGCCTTAGCATAGTTTCCAGGAGGATCTGCTCCATGACCTTCCCCGGCACAGAGGTGAGTGACCGCCCTGTAGTTCCCCGGGGCTTCCCTTTTACACTTCTTAAAAATGGGGGTTGTGTTTCCCCTTTTCCAGTCACTGGGAACTTCACCAGAACGCCACGACTTCTCCAATATGATGGAGAGTGGCTTAGCATCCGCCAGTACCCTCAGGACCCGTGGATGGACTGCATCAGGCCCCATGGACTTGTGCACCTTCAGGTTCCCTGGATGGCCTCAGACCTGATCTTCTCCTACAGCGGGTGGGTCTTCATCCCCCCAGTCCCCGCCTTTGCCTTCTGCCACTTGGGCAGTGTGTCTGGAGAGCTTGTCCGTGAAGACTGAGGCAAAAAAGTCATTGAGCCCCTCAGCTTTCTCCATGTCCCAGGTAACCAGGTCTCTCATGTCCTTCCGGAGAGGACCCACATTCTCCCTGGTCTTCCTTCTCTCACTGACATTCCCTTCTGGAGAGGGCCTACATTTTCCCTAGCCTGCCTTTTATCACCGACGTACCTGTAGATGCTTTACTTGTTGCCTTTGATGTCCCTGGCCAGATTTGCTTCTGTCAGGGCTTGAGCTTTCCTAACTTGCTCCCTGGCTACTCGGACCATTTCTCTGTATCCCTCCCAAGCTACCTGTCCTTGCTTCCACCCTCTGCAGGCCTCCTTCTTCTGCTTGAGTTTGGCCAGGAGCTCCCTGTTCATCCATGTAGGACTTTTGGCGTTTCTGCCTGACTTCCTCTTGGTCAGGACGCGTTGCTGCTGAGCTTGGAGGAGGTGATCCTGGAATCCTGACCAGCTTTCCTGGGCCCCTCTTCCCTCCAGGCGTTATCCCACGGTATTCTACTAAGCAAATCCCTGAGGAGGCCAAAGTCTGCTCTCCTGAAGCCCAGGGTAGTGAGCTTGCTGCGCACCTGCCTCGCTGCCCTAAGGAGCTTGAACTCCACCATTTCACGGTCGCTGCAGCCAAGGCTGCCCTTGAGCTTCACATTCCCCACCAGCCGCTCCTCCTTGGTGAGAACAAGGTCCGGCATCGCACCTCTCCTCGTGGGCTCCTCTATCCCTTGGAGGATGAAGTTGTCCTCAACGCATTCCAGGAACCTCCTGGCTTGCCTGTGTCCTGCTGTGTTGTCCCTCCAATAAATGTTGGAGTGGTTGAAGTCCCCCATGAGTACCAGGGCTTGTGAACGTGAGGCTTCTCCTATCTGCCTTTGGAGGGCCTCGTCCACTCAGTCTTCCTGGTCGGGTGGCCTCTAGCAGACCCCCGCTATAATGTCACCAGTACCTGCCCTGCCTTTAATCCTGACCCATCAGCTCTTGGTGAGCTCCTCATCCATCTGCAGGTGGAGCTCCATGCCCTCCAGTTGGTCACTGACGTACAGGGAGACACCCACTCCTCATCTCCCCTGCCTGTCCTTCCTAAGGAGCCAGTACCCTTCCATTCCAGCTCTTCACTGGAGGGCTCTTCATGGAAGTTCTGCGCTGCGAAGGTGCCCGAGTCCTGGCACAGGTTGCCCGGGGAGGTGGTGGAGTCTCCATTCTTGGAGCTACTCAAACCCATGGGGACACAGCCCTGGGCCACCAGCTCTGGAGGCTGGACCAGATGGAGCCCAGAGGTGCCTCCAGCCTCAGCCCTCTGGTCCCATCTCAGAGCTGCTCGTGCGGAGCAGGCAGGGGCCGGGCT